AAGAACTTCTTCACTGTAAGAGTCATTAGGCATTGGAACAGGCTTCCCAGGGAGGTGGTGGAGTCACCATCCCTGGAGGTGTTCAAAAAACGTTTAGATGTGGCGCTTCAAGACATGGTTTAGTGGGTTTAGCAGGCATGGTGGCATCGCGTATATGGTTGGACTTGATGATCTTTGAGGTCTCTTCCAACCATAATGGTTCTATGATTCTATGATATACATATGTATGTTTGTATACATACACACATACAGTCATGCAACTATCTTTTCTTAGGTAATCTGATTTTAACAAAAGTTTAATTAGGCTTTCCCCTACCTGCATTTGACTTTGAAAATAGCTCCTTAGATCAGAACTTCCATGCCTGAAAGATTACCTGCTTGTTCAAATATCAATTATATCAATTCCTGTTGATAGAATATTTTTTTTCTGTCTCTCCACTGAACTCCCCATTCTAGTCCGGAATGGCTATAATGGGCTACTGTTAAGAATGAGGTTTTGATTTCTATATTCACAATTATTTTCTTTCCAAGCTTTAAAGAACATTTATAGATGTATTATTTATTTTGGTGGCTCAGAGTATTCTCTTTGTTTCCTTTGTGAGCTTTTGGCAGTGTAATAGAAGTGTATGTTTTAGTTTAGTTTGCATCTACCATACTTCCACAAAGTGTGGCTTCTTCGACTAAGTGGAAAGCAATGCTGTAGTCAGCTCTAACCTAAATTGTTTTACTTTCTAACTTCTGATTGGGATTTTTTTGCTAAATTTCTGTTAGTGGAAGAGAGTACAAAACCTGAGAAAGAACACAGATCATAGCAACTTTTATTCAAGGGTAGTACCTGTGCATACAACCTGCTTTCTTTTCTCAGCAGTTCTTTGTTTTATGACATTGTGGTATAGGCAGAAGGAAAAAGAAATGTCTCTCATAATATAAATGGAAAGGACAGACACAGTCCTTTTTGACACAAGCTCCTGTACTTTAGACACGTTTCTTCTCCTTTAATGAGCTACATTATTATGTGAAACCATATCACGTTAGAAGTTCTTCAAGCACAACAGTGAAGTAATGAGTATTCTTTGCTTTCAATAGTTAAAAAAGATGCTTGGTATTAAAGTGCTGTGTGCTGTATGCTGTCAAAATACTTACTTTTTTAACATTGAAAAAGCTATACAGATTTGCACCAAATAGCTACAAAAGCAATTGTACAATGCTACAGTTTATTTAGAGTTATAAATTTTGAAGCATTTGCATTTTGATAATGATACATACTTGATCAAGACAGTTACTTTTAGGAAAGATATTAGTTTTTGTGTTAAGTGAACTGTTTGGTGTTTATTCCTCAAGATAAGAAGTCCAGTGCAGGTTCTGATTTTAAGTTAAGTTTTGACCATCAGCCTTATTTTATATGCCTCCCTTTAAACATTTAAAGGAATGAAGTCACAAAGACTTACAAGTAAAAAAACTAGTAATACTATAAATCAGATCAGGAGACACCATACTTGCAATAACAGTCAGTGAACAGCAGCATTCACTTTTGTCACATAAAAAACATTAAAAAATCTGGAATTAGTAAGTTACCCAGTTCAGGTTTCTTGAATTCTACAGGACAGTCATACCCTTTAAGGTATTTATTTCCACAAGAAAGACATTATTGTGGTACCTGTCCTGTGAAGCTGTTGGTTTCTTCTGCAGAAAATAAGCTATATATCATCTGTAGTTCCTTCCAAAACTGTTGCTTTTGTTGCTTGAATGCAAATTTTCTGTATTCTTTGCCACTTAATCTAGAACTCAGTTTATATGCTCTGTTCTTCTTGTTAACTTTGGTGTTTCCAGCATTTGGAAAACACATCCTGTAATTTGCCCACTGAAAGCAACAGAAGAAGCATTAATGTAGACAGGTATTCCTACTGGAATATGAGTCTAGTTTTGTCTCCATCACTGCAATTGTCCTGATTTTGCCAGCAGAAATGGGCCAGATTACTTCACCTAAGTCCCTCTGCGCAGTATTTTCTTGTTGGCTAGATGCCTTCAAAACCCTGTTTGAAAACATTAAGCTGAAAGGCTTTGGTAAAGTTTAGTCTGAATTTGAGCTGGAGCCTGTAATCTTTTGATGCTTTACACAGACTTTTTGAAATAGTTTGTTTTCTATTCATTCCCTAGCATTACTTTAGTCTTTGCCTAATTGCATCATCTCCATGTTTTCCATATTTTTTCAGAAGTTAATCTTGATATAGTTGAATTTTGTTTCCTTTTGGAAAATGGAGCAGCTGCCTACTCTTCAGATCCTGAAAAGCATCAAATATATTAATGAATGAACTGGAAATGAGACATTTTTCTGCTGCCCCAATCATTTTTATTTCAGTTTCTCTCTTTTAACTGTGCTTTTAGGTTTTCTTTTGTGTAATCTTGAGAAGTCAAACTTGGCTCCAATGCTTGTTTTTAATACCTCTACTTATGTAAAGAAAGAGTTTTTCTTCCTACCAAAACAAAGCCTTATCTCTACAACATTGAGGAAACAGCATAGTGATATAGCCAAGAAACAAAGAATGAGAATGCCTCTTGATCCCTTAATTTGAGAAGTGCTTCAGTCTGCACTGCTTGTAAAGCACAAAATTATCTTCCATTTTGGGTTCATAATCTTTCTACTCCCTTCTATAACTAATGCAAGTAGAATACTGAAAAATAAGTAAACCACACTAATTATGAAATATTTTAAATTTGACTCTTTTTCTATTTGTGTGTAGTAATGTAAATTTTATTAATATTTGTTGTGTTTTACTATTTATTACTTACATTTGCAAACTGATGTTATTGAAAATGACATCTCAGTGCTGGATCTGTAGACAAGTAAAAGGATGTAACTTCAATGTATTTTTTTTCTGTAAATAGTTTTCCTAGCTTTTCTAATAACGATCATTATTTTGTTGATGGTAAGGCTATAAGATTGAAATGGCAACATTTCATGTGCACTACCTCTGGGAAGGGGGGATCCGAGACACTTAAACATGGAAGTGTGACATGTGGGTGACACCTACTTGAAATAAAACTACAAGTATTAGCTCTTTTTTATGGATTTTTTTTAATATATAAAATTTTCTAATTATGTGACATTTGGGATTTGCATCTGGGGTCTTCTGTTGCTTTGCTTGTGTCCTTTACCTGTTCAAAATGTTTTCATGTAGAGTGCCTTGAGCCTGCAGGATCCATTACCGTTTCAATGGGTATTGACTTCTGTGATTCTACTCAGATGGCCAGTTTCCAGTTATGGTGAGTTCTTGGGGAGGGAGGGTAATTTTTTGCTCTTGGAAGCCAAAAGTGGTGTATATTGGAAGTTTACTTGGCAGTAGCAGACTTGCTGTTTAATAAATATTTAAAGAATTAAACAGTAGTTCACAACGTGATGTTTTTAGAGGAATAACACATAATTACTGTTCAGTTTTACTATTGCAAGGATTATCTGTTTTCTTCAGTTTTCCAAATTTTTTTACCACTTGCTTCTAAAAACACAGATTTGATGGTAAGATCAAATCTAGGTTTGAAATCACATGTGTGAGTTCAAAAACTCTTTGACAGGTTGTGTTTGGGAGGTCCTGTTTTTCCTTTGGCAGGACACCAAACAGAAGCATGAACTCTTCTTCTAATTTAGAATTACTTCTCTGTTCCTGAGCTTTATTTTTATTTTTCCTCCTCTTCTTAATAACAGCACTTTGAAGGGAGCAGTCAGGTCTGACTAGTCTGCTTGAGCATTTTGTGTGTGTTCTTCCTTGTAAGAAATTGCAAGTCAAAAAAGCACATAGTGTGAGCAATTTTACTACCTCAAGTGCTTATTATGGCTGTTTGTGATCTATGTAACATGACTGCTTGAAACCAATCCCAAAATTTGCTGGCCAAAGAAGCTTATTCCTTATGCTGTAGAGTCTTTTAAATGATTAGAGAGAGAATGAAAATAAGCAACTGGCTGGCCAACTAGATTTGGTCTTATATACTTGATTTATGCTTTTTATGTTCATTATTGGCGTACTCAAGATCCTCCTTTGTATGAGTTCCTATTGCATTCTAGGCTAGCAGGAAACCTTTTCACCCAGTGAGAACTCTGTTATAAACTAGCATTTGAAACCAGGGAAAATTTATAGTAGCAGTGTTCAAACATTAGGAATGAACGGATTGGGGAAAACTAGGCACCTTTTAAAAGCTATTCAGGCTTATAGTCTTTGAAACTATGCAAAGGCACTAAATAGATCTGCATGAATCTGGGAGTTTTTTTCATATTTTGAGATAATATTTTTGACATATTTTGTTGAGAAGCACTACTTTCTATATTCTGCACAAAAAAGGATGTTGAGTAGACATTAACACTGACACATTCCAGTTTAGGGAAAGCCCTTTGTGAAAGTTCTGTACCCCTTTCTTGAATACTGTAGAATTTTTAGGGTATTGCTACTAAGTACAACTTGTGCAATTTCCAAGCTATTAAAGATAGCAGAAAAATCTTAATGACAGAGATGTACTCAAATGACTCCAAAAGAACCACTGTGAAAATAAAATTTCTTGTTCTAGGGGCAAGGAGGTTTTACTATTGAATTTTTGTTTTCCATTCCTCAAACGTTTTCCTGTACAATAGATGCTCAGGCATAGTCATTTTAAAGATATTAGTACCTCCAGCAAGATGTCTGCAGCATGTGTTTTATGTGCATCACATTGTTGTAGCTGGTCTGTATGCTGTTTACTGGAATTCGGAAAGAGCTTTGGACTGTTGCCTGGTGCTAGATTTGTTTGGGAAGGGAAGTTCCCTTCTAGGCAATGCAGTTTTGTAATTGCTTCAAAATGATAGGCTGTCTTTAAATATATTTTGGGTTTTTTTAAATAAAATATGCTCAGTTTATCAAGGGGGAATTCTTTTCTGAATAGAGCAGATATTTTTCTTTCGAGTACATATTTTCAGTATACTAATGATTTGATTCCAAACTTAATACCATTTATTGCTAAGAATCTTAGCAGTGATGAGGATAAGCAATGTAGCATAACACATTGATTTTATGCAGATCATCACCTTTATGTTTTGGGAGGTCTGCTGTATTAGTGATATATAAAAACTGATTACTTTCTCCAACATTGCCTAGTAATTGTTTATTATTTTCCTATTAGACAAACAAGACAGATCAATATTCCTGAACACCGACCAGACTATGAGTAACATCACTGTAAATAGATTTGCCTCAGACCTCAGTGGTGTATTCATTTTAATGATTTGGACAATGTGAGTCCAATGACAAAGCTGAAGCTAAGTTTAAAATTAAATTAAGAATAGGAATTGCTTACTTTGTTCCTTTGCTAATTGATAGGGCCTTGTCTCTTTGACACTAGTTCTTAGAAAATAGTGTAAAAGTAGGTAAAGTCTTCTTTGGATTAAATTCACTGTTTTACTGTTAAAACATATTGTTCAAAATCCTGCTGATGTTCAGTATAATGGAAGAAATTGTGCAGTGTGATGTTTTGGGGGCGACGTCTTGGAGAACTCAGCTGCAGCCTTTTTAACTTGTCATACTTCTTAAAAAGCATTTGTCCAAAAGGGAGAATGACTTGTAGAAGTTTGTCAAAATGTTGTTGAAACACTGTACACACAAAGGTGTCGATATTCTTGTATTTCCTGCTAACATATCTTTATGAAAGACGTTGTTGGTTATTTTGCATTTTTGTTAGAAGTGTGTTCAGCGATAAAGTGTTCCTGATCATAATCATTTTCTTTACGTTGTTCTAAGAGGAGCACTTTGTCTTGCATCAAATGTAATTGATCCTGAAGTAGTGTAATCACAATTACTCACTTTCTTAATTGGCCTGCCCAAAATCAGAAAATGGAAACCGATCGGCAGTGTTTAAATCAATAGCTTTGTAGTAAAGCTTGTGGGGGTAGGGAGATAGTTGTAATGGGTAGATCAATTGGTCTTAGATGCCAATCACAGACTGTGTGTTTTGCATAGCAAACACTACCTTTCTGCTTGGAGATGTGCTGTTGTACTACTGGTTCAATAAATACAAGCTGTATAAAGAAAAAAACTAACATGAGGAATAAAATATTTAGATCTGTTTCTGAATTTTTTTAACAAATCAAGGACAATGAAGGAGAAGCTGCATTATAAGGAGAGGTTTGAAGGACTGAGCTTTGAAAGACCTCCTTCGTAAATACTATTTTTATTAAGCAAAGCTTACCAAGATCACACATTTAATTAAAAAGAGGTGAAACACCTTAACTTGAAAACTGTGCTTAATGCATTTATTTAGAATGTGTGTTAGGATGCTAACACTATGTACACGTAAGGAGAACATCTCTTCATTGCTATTTTTCTTGTGCCTCCTCCTTGCAGAGGCACACTACTTCAGCCACACTGATGTCCTACACAATAATGCCTCTCAAGCAGAAAGTTAGAGAGGAAAAATGAAGGAACTTAGTCTTTTAAAAGATTTTTGTGAGTCCTACTTTTTATTTTTGGGTTACTTTGTTCAAGTTATATCCTGCAAGCAGGATATACACAACTTAGAAGTATAAAGCAATTTGTTATTGGCCAACTCACATGCAAGGCAGTCTGGTAGCTTGTGAATCCTAGTTAAGCATTAGTATATTCACCATCCCAGTAAGAGATGCTTACTCTTACCTCAGTCTTTGCTAGACAGGTAGGCATCAGTGAGCAGAAGAAAAGTCGGAACAGATCCTTGATGTTACAGACTGACTGCAGTACTTCACTGACTGGGAATTTATTTTTTTTCTTTTCAGATTTTATGTATTTCTACACTGGTTTGTTTTCTCTTGAATCCTTGAGCTCCTAGTAATCGCCGTCTTAACAATCCTACCACTGTCTCTTATTTTATCTTTATTATCTTGCATGTTTCTACTTTTCAGATATTCTCAGGTCTTTCTCACAGTTTACCAGTTTCGTTAGATGTCTGCACAAATATTTGGGAGCTTTGTTCTGTCAGAATTTGGCCTTAGATCCTTGGAATGAAGACATTTAAATCCCTAGAGAAGAAAGGCGAGGAAGGTTACGGAGACAGATGGTTACAGCATATACATGCCCTTATCCTATTTTGTGTACACATATTTAGCATTTGTAAAACCCACTAGGCAAATCTCCAGCTTCTTGTAGGTATCTGGTGAGTGACTGAAAGTGAAGGGGAGATGTCCTCTTTACAACATTGAGAGTTAGAGAAGGAAGCTTGTCCTCTTCTCCCCTATTCTTTTCATCTCCTCTTTCCAAATTCTGTTCCCAAAGCCGTGAAAGAACCACTGCTTTGACTATAAAATTAATTTACAGAGAACTTGTTTTCTTCTCCCCATTCTTTTGAAAAGTATGCAGGATGTTATTTAGCTCTCTTTGAAACAACTTGGCATAGGGAACATGTCCATGCCATGCATCTCTTCCCCCGGTTTTCTCAAGGTTGAAGTGCAAAGAGTACAATCAGAGCTCCCAAGAAGAAAGAGAAACAGAATGAAAACAATAACTTCTATGCCTTACATTCTTGCTCAGAATAATGAGATCATGGGAAAACTGTGTGACATGTGACAGAGATTTTTACAAGCATGGACTGGTTACCTTATATGGGCATTTCCTGTGTCCCAGTGTTATTAGAAGAGCTGGGACCCTCTACATACTCTTATACTGTTGTAATGCAGATAGAAAAGAAAGCTGTCTGTTCACCTCATCTGCCCTGGACTGTATAAAGATGGCATTTTAATGATTACTCCAGAAGAGGTTATTGTAGCAGGAAGAATCTAGCATTTTCATAAATGAAGTAAATTCCATGAATTGAATTTGAAAACCTTGTTCAATCTGCTGTCTGCATGTTCACTCTTGCTGTAAAAGCTTTTGCTCCAAATTTTGTTTTCCAAGGAGAAATTCTCTCACCTCAGTCTGCATTGATGTGGGAATCTTCGCAAGCAGAACTTCTACCTTCAAAGAAGAGTAGATGAAGAGTATCAGTTGGGTAGCAGTCAGTATTTGTACTGAGTGCAACCATGCATTCAGCTGTAGATGCTTACACAAAAGCATCTGATTAAAATTATGTAGTATAATATGTTATGGAATATATTAGAAGCTAACGTTAGAGATGCAGGACTGTCTTCATATCACTGTCACTTGCATTTTCACTTGTTTCTTGCTGTTTCCTTCCCTAGTGCTTTGTCAGCAGATCACCAAGTTGTTTACAGATGTTGGATATTAAGACAAGCAATCTGGTACTCTTCTCTTTATTTCATTACTCTAAAGTAGTCAGTT